TGGGCCCATATATTTATCACCTTTTATTCATTCCAGAAATCAAGGGATTCAATCCCAACTTTAACTGGTATATCATGAGAATAAGCAGCACAAGAGAATTCTTGAAGAATCTTATATTTCTTCAATATATGCCAATGTAATTCTTAATTAATTTTTTCGCATCATAATTGAACCGAGATGGTCAACCGGTCATGCCAACTAATATTTATTTCAGTAAACCTCTAGTTTACTTGTGGCTTGTAATTACATCATCATGCTTATACCTGTGTAGTACAAATAGAAGAGAAGTCAGGTAACATTTCATATTTACTCGGTATGATTATAGTAATATAAAGATATTCAATCTTCTTTTTATTTATAGTCTCAATATGCCAACCACTTTGGCTAATATATTTGTAAATCAGAATGTTTCTTTTGAGACTTACTACAATATTAATGTCATGAACAATTTCATTCATCCGGGTAGTAACAAATTAGTTCTCTCATAACTCTTAACTGCTTTTGTACTACAAGATCTTTTGTCACACCATCTATATAATGAATGTCTCCTTCACAATGAGAATCATATCATAATAATTGTCATGTTCAAAATCATCATAAGCAAAATAATTTTTTATTATAATTTTTCTTTTAATAACTTTCATAAGGCTTGACAATTTATTTTTTGGCGTATCACATGTATGCGACCAATGATATATTCATGTAACTACACAGTAATATTCATTATCTTTCTTTGTCTCAAACCTCTCTTAAAGGTGAGTTGTAGTATTTATCCAACCATGCACAAGTATATTATTATGCATAATCTTTATCACATATATATTTTCACATTCATTTTCAGGAATGAGTATGCAATGTCAATGTTTATCACAAGTCACATTCTCTTCAAAGAATTTCTCCCTTTTTATAATTACTATAGTGATAACTATTATTATTTTGGTCTTTCGCTCGCTCACATTCATTGGTCAACCACTTGTCTTTATTTAGACTTATCATGCACTACTATCACATTCACTTCAAGAATGGAGTAAATCAAGTGGGACAAGCTTCATGCTTTTTCATGAAAGATACATTATTTTTCTTTAGTTATTATTATTATCAATATGGTGCATTAAGACTCAAACCCAATGCCTTACCCATATAAAGGCATGCTAGGCCATAAAGCGTTGGAACTTGATTCCAACATCTTTTCATCAACATAGTGCGTTGGGACTTGAACACATCGTCTTATCCACAATCTTTGGCATAATAGGCCAAAATTCACTAGGACTTGCACTCGAGCCTTTAAAATATTATTACTTCATAATTATAGGCATAAGTAAATTAACTTTCAAGAAGACTTATATAACTATTTCAATCTTGAAACAGTTCCTCTCCAACAAAAATGTTAGTTAGGATATATGCCATTTTTTAAAAAATGATACAATCACTTTTATATTTTAATAAATTAATTAGGGAAAAAGTGCAGATAACTTATAACCACTTATATTTCAAAGACTATAAGAACTTCCCAAAAAAATTCAATACGGAGGAATGAGCCTTATGTTTCCAGCAAAAATATTTAAGACTTAATGCATAACCGTGACTATTATAAATTATAACTATAATGAGTTTATATTGATTGTATATTCGAATGCCAAATTTGCAAGGTACCGTAAAATCGCCTACATATTTGATAATTTTGCTTTCAATGAAATACATCATGTGATGGTAAAAATATTATTACTAAATTACCTTAATAATTATCTAACATAGTATGTAAACGGTCAGAACATATATATACGTTGGAATATTAATTTTGTCCTATAAGAGATGTAGCAAATAAAGACATACCTTTCCAGTTCTTTATTTCACTGGATACAATTGAAAAAAATATTTTTACTAAACACTGCACATAAAGTTAATGCAAAGATATGNATAGCAAATAAAGACATACCTTTCCTGTTCTTTGTTTCACTGGATACAATTGAAAAAAATATTTTAACTAAATATTGCACATAAGGTTAATGCAAAGATTTAAAAGTATGAATGAGTTTAGATGGAAGTAAAACTTATCTTTGTATTATTTTTCAAGACCATTTTTCATTGTACTTGATCTCATTGTCTGCTTATAATCTACATAGTCTTGACGTAGAAGATCATGAAATGAGCAATTCGTGCTCATAACGTGTTATAAAATAAAAGCAATTTAGTAAAATATGAATAAGAAATGTTGTTATGAAATAAAAGCAATTTAGTAAAACATGAACAAGAAATGGAGATAGAGAGAAGGAAGAGATTTTCTTCTTCAATTGTGTGTATTTTCTTATCTATTACAAGGCCTTTATATAAGCATGAAAAGTGAAGAAAAATATGTCATTGAATATGTCATTACGCATAGAAATATGTCATTAAGTATTTGAGAAGATCATGGAGGAAGAGTAGACATCCACCATAATTTGATTTTTCTTATAACATATATCATTTAGTTTTGCAGTTTTACTTGACCAAATACTTTTAAAATATGGAAAATATTTTCATAGAAAATGTTTTCTTTTGTACCAAATGCCATAGCATACATATATGCGCCCCCAAATTATGTTTTATTGCTGATTTCGTAGCAGCTTATAAAGGGAAAACCGGTTAATTTAATACTGCCTATTGGAGTAGGAGTAGTATAATTTTTTATATCATCGACACTTTACATTCCTTGAATCATGACACAATAGGGGGGAACGAAGTGCATATGACATTTAGTGAAGGGGCAAAGTGTCCTAACGAAATATTAGGAGTCAAATTTTGAATCTCGAAAAATCTGTAGCTTACAGCTTCCTCTCGTAAAAGCGCGGCAAACTAAGAGAGGTTCCACATAACACAAAGGAAGGAGCGAGAACTGAAGCAATGGAAGACTCGGGTGCAATTCTGTGTCAGATCTCTTCGCTCAAGGATATGCTTGATCAGGTGCTTCCACGCAGTTTTATCTCATTCACTGTGTGTGTTTGTGTGTGTGTAAAACTGTAAATATATATATATGTTGTATATTTGTGTATTTATCTGTGTGTGTAATTGTATATTTGTGTATGTCTGTGTGTGTGATAGGTGAATCACATGGTTTAAATTAGCTTATATTGTTGGAATTTCATTCAGGTGAACGAAGAAATTGAGGCGAACATTCAGGCAACGAGAGAGATTGAATCACAAATAGTGAAGTCTGCGGAAGTCGAAAGCGCGTTGGCTGCTCGAGAATCGGAGCTGATGAGAACTGCATATGCACTGCAATTTGAAATCGATGGCTTGATGAGAGTTTATGGTATTTGTGTTAAGAGTATAGAGACTTTGCGTAGCATTTTAATCTGTTTCTTCTTTTTTTTGGTAATTCATTTTTTGTGTTCATCTGTCAATTACTTGCTTTCAGATTCTTTTTTTTTTTTTTTAATTTATGCTAATATTACGATCCTCTGATTTACTGCCCTAAATATGAGCCTAAAACTAAATGTAGAACTTCCAATAGTATTAGTTGTTTTAGGGTTTAAACAATACATGAAACATATACATAAAACTTTTTCTAGGCTGTTTAAGTGGTTGTGAACTGATGATTGACTTTTATTTTCATTACTTTTCTATTTTCCTCTGAATTCTTGTCTTTGTTTTTAGCTGATTCAGAGACCTCTCTCAAACATTTGGACGAAAAGATTTGTTGTCTAAGAACGAGGAGCGATGACATACTTATGAGTATGAATAACAGAAGGTGCTTTTCTTAAACTATGTGACACTTTATGTGTGGAAATGCAAACGACAAGAGTTTATATATCTTTAATAAGGGGCATCCTCTTTGTGATGACAAATTCCATATCTCAAGATAACTGTTAGTGAATCTTTAGCATTGACTTTTGCAGGGATGCATTCATGGCGTCGTGCCTGGCTTTTCAAAATGAAGTTTCTGTAAAAGATAATGATGAAGTATGCACTTTGCTAGCAGAGAAAGAGGTGCTACAGAATGAAGTTCATAGTTTAAACAAGAAAACCAAAGCATTGGAAAGTTCAACAGCAGCTTTTGTGGAAGAGGTTCTTGAAGATCTTCAGCACGCGACGTCTGGTAACTTTCTCTTCCCGTTAGTTACGTTTCTATCTTCTATCTTGGTATCATTTCTGTTTTTTTTTGTTGTTGTTCTATCCTTCATTTTGTGATATAATGTCAATAGCTCTTATAGCCTCTTCTTTCTTTTTCGTCTGGGCTTCTGTTTTACGTGTGAACAGCTTGAAATATCATTGCTCTATTTATCAACAACTCTGCAAGAACTTAAAATTGTGTATGCTTGGTAAAAGATACAACAAATGGTGTTTCATTTCAAACCCTTTGGTTGTTCTAAATTGGAATTTGATGTGAATCACAGCTTTAGACGTCGAAATAAGAAGTGGCAATATTGAGAATGAGAAACTGCTCAAAGATATTGACGAATTAAAGAGAACATTGTCTTCACTTATGTTGGCCAGAACGCAGGAAATGGTAATCTTCCTCTGCTTTTCTTTCAAGCTTTCCGTTTAGTGCCATCTCTGACTCTTTTGTAATTTTGTCCCACATCTTTAGCAGGTATCTGGAGCTGGTAATGTTTTAATCCGCTGACCAGTGATAGTTGTTCAAGTCACTTGTATGCTGAAGTTAGCCGTACTTGAATCTGTCAACAGATTACTTTCAATAATTCTAAAGCTTTCAGCTCCAAACTTTCATAGTAGTTAAATGTGAAATAATGCGTTTGACTCGTTGCTGCTAGATTTTCTAACACTTCTAGTTCTAGTTAAGAGTGTTCAAAGTAAAGCAGGTGAACATGTGAACGATCCAGTGAACAGCTTAGTTTGATTATCATTGTTGTGTTCTTTAGCACGTATATTTATAGATAATTGTAAATTTTTCTCAGGTGACCATATCAGTAACTACGTTTATCAGCATTCAGCAACACAAGGGTCGTGCACAGTTCTCCTTATTTGTACTGTTCCACCATAACTCCAACCATCCCCCGCCCCCTTATTCCCCACTCCCTCACCCCATATTCTCAAGATGGTGTCGAGTACGAGTACAAATTGGAAAGAGGAACACTTGACTCAAATTGAATCAGAAGTCATACTTTTGACAGCAGATGAGCTTTACATTCTCTAGCAGCTTAAGTGCCGATCTTTGTAAATACGGGCCTCCGCCCACGTTGGGAATTAAATATCTATCAGGATTGTGGCACTTTGCAACGGGCATTTTTTATTAGCCAGATAAATGAGACTAGTTCTATCTATACTTCAACAAATGAGTGGTAGCATAGATGAGAATATATATTATCTCTATGCAATTTAGGTATAAACTGGGTTTAAATACGACGACGACGACCCAGTAAAATCTCATAAGTGGGGTCTGAGGAGGGTTGTGTGTACGTAGACCTTACCCCTACCCCTATGGGGCAGTGGGGCAGAGAGACTGTTTCCGATAGACCCTCGGCTCAATTGATGGAAAAGACGAGAAGAGACAATATATCAGTATAGTCAATAGAAATCATAGAAATAATAACAGCAACATAAGAACCAAAAAATAAATGACATACAGTAACAATAACCAGTAAATAAGGCACGATGCTATGAAAAGCGGAAGGATAGGGTGAACACAATAATTGTCTAGGAATAGCCCTATCAAACTAGCTTCACCCCAGCTTTGAAGAAAATAATGCTCGACTACCTCCTAACCTACAACCCTAACGCTCGACCTACACACCTTCCTATCAAGGGTCATGTCCTCAGAAATCTGCAGTCATGTCATGTCATGCCTGATCACCTCTCGCTAATACTTCTTAAGCCGCCCTTTACCTTTTCTTGTACCCGCCAAAGCCAACCGTTCACACCTCCTCACCGGAGCATCAAGCCTTCTCCATCGTATGTGCTCGAACCATTTGAGTCTTGCCTCTCGCATCTTGTCATCCACAGGAGTCAAGCCCACCTTCTGCCGAATATCGTCATTCCTAATCTTATCCATCTTAATGTGCCCGCACATCTACCTCAACATCCTTATTTCTGCTACTTTTATCTTCTGGATATGAGAGTTCTTAACCGGCCAGTACTCTGCCCCATACAATATGGCCGGTCTAACCACTGCTCTATAAAACTTACCTTTGAGTATCAGTGACACTTTCTTGTAACACAAGACTCCAGATGCTAGCCTCTATTTCATCAACCCCACCCATATACGGTGTGGTGTGTGACGTCCTCATCGATCTCTCTGTCCCCTGGATAACCGACCCAAGGTACCTGAAACTACCTCTCCTAGGGATGGCCTGTGATCCAAGCCTCACGTCCATGCCTACTTCACTCAACTCAGTGCTGAACTTGCACTCCAGATATTCTGTCTTAGTCCTGCTCAACTTGAAACCCTCAGACTCAAAGGCATGCCTCCAAACCTCCAACCTCTTGTTAACACCGCCTCACGTCTCATCAATCAGAACTATGTCATCGACGAATAATATACACCATGGCACCTCCCCTTGAATATGATGTGTCAGTGCATCCATCACCAAGACATATAAAAACGGGCTAAGCAGAATTCCTTGGTGTAACCCCATAACAACCGAAAAATGATCCGAGTCGCCTCCCACAGTCCTAACCTGAGTCTTAGCTCCACCATAAATATCCTTGATCGCTCTAATGAATGCTATCGGCACACTCTTTGCTTTCAGGCATCTCCAGAGAACCTTCATAGGGACCTTGTGATACGTTTTCTCCAGGTCAATAAACACAACGTGCAGATCCTTCTAATTCCTATTCCTGTACTGTTCCACCAGCTTCCTAATAAGGCGGATAACTTCCATAGTCGAACGATCCGGCATGAACCGAGCTTGTTTAAATAACCTTTTTAGAATGACGTCGACACGAGAAAAACACCTAAAGTATAATAGATGAGAGGCGCAATCAAGAAATAATCTGTTTCTGAATAAATAAATGACATATTGATTCATAAGATTGATGGAAGTTTGAATGAGATAATCTGATCTAACTCATAAGATACTTTGATGTAACTATTTTCTTTATCCTTTTTTTCTTGGTGGAAAGAGTAGTATATTGTATTAAGTATTATCATACCCAATTTATTATATGATAGATAATAAATTTATAATACCCAATTTATTTGCCTCCAAAACATTTAGGGATCATTTGGTTGCCGGTTAGAGTTATCCAGGTATTAGTTATACAAGTATTAATTATGCAGGAATAAGTAATGCAGGGATTAGTTATGCAGGTATTAGTTATACATGGATTAGTTATGCAATTTTTTTTTTTTTTAAATATTTGGTTTGTTGTATTAGAAATTGATATACATTATATAAATTTTAAAGTAAAATATTTATTTACTGATTTTGTCTCTAATCGATTGAGAAGAGGAAAAGCCTAGTAGTGAGGCATCAGTATCTCAATGTTTGTTCTCCAAAGGGTTTGATACAAATAAATCTATAGAAGGAAGCCTTTATGTGTAAAATGATAGGGGTGAATTTGTCATTTCAATATTTCATCCATGTATTACTAATACATGTATTAGTTATTCCACCTTCTACCCCACATAAAATAATACACAGATTGACTCATAACTTATACATGTATTATTTATGTAGAATTGGAAAATGACAACCAAACATGGTATTAGTTATGCTGAATTTTGTACAAAATAACTAATGGCTACCAAACATTGCATAAGTTATGTTGCCCCCAATACATGGATAACTTTACTCCTAACCGCTACCAAACGACCACTTAAGACAGACATAGAAGGGAACTACAAAATGTAATATATGAACAATAGTCTTCTGCATCTTACTACCATATATGACTAATTGATCTGCCAGTTCGTTTTGCTTCCAATAGTCATGTTCAATCAGTGGATCTCCGAGCTATTTCACTAAGGACATGCAATCATGAATAACATTAGAGTAATGTAAAATGATTACCTCTTTCAGTCATCTCCAATGACTCAAATGAGGTAATAGTGCTAATAATTATGCCATTTTAACTATAGTGAGTTATGCCATTTCAATTAGTAGTAGTTAAAATGGTTGTGAAGTGTCCTTTCGTTGGAGGATGCCACTTTAATTCTAAAGTAATCCAAGTTTGAAGTGTCTTAAGTCCGTCAGGATCGGAAATTCAAGGTCTCTTGGGGTACCACAAATAATGGACTTATTAGTTCTTTTTCTATCTATGAAGTAATTTGGCAACGCATACAGGTTCGTGTCGTCATTTGTGACCCATAGGATCTGGAATCGTGACCAAGGTAGTGATAGTATTCATGAGTCGCTAGTTCAACTATCCCTTGAAGACATGATCGAGACTTTAGTTGCCGCCCCCTACTTGCTCATTCGCAATTACATTGAATGGTTGTGATTTCTAGTTAATCAAATGTTCCAAAGAAAAAAAAAAGGATACGTTCTTGCCAAACAGGCTGTAAGCTTCCTATGTTGTTTGAGCCAAACAATGGGCTGATAACCAAATCTAGATGTCCTCTTTTCTTCAACAACAATAATAACTCACTATAATAGCACTAGTGAGTCTGAGGAGTGTAGTATGTAGTGTGTACGCAAATATTACTTGCCTGCGTTAGAGAAGTTGTTTCACAGTCGGCTTCCCAATTTTCTTGAAACAAAACAAAAAGAAAAACCCTAGAAAATAACACTCCTATTTATTGCGGAAAGGGGGTAAATAATTAAAAAAATAATAAAAAGGTAAACCTTCGGTCCATCGAACCGTTCATCAACCTCGGCTAACAAACCCTCTCGTCTTCCGCCCACAGACAGATTAGCAGTTCCATTGCCAGAGGTAGGAGAAAATTTTGCTTTTGTGTTTCAGAAATATTCCACTTCTAAGTTCTAACTATTCCGAATCTTTTCTTTAATGGGAGTAAAGTTCCAGGTATCCTAAATTATACGACGTCTTTGGTCTGATTACGACAAATACTTTACCGTCGTCGCTGCTACCGATACAGGTTCGTAAGTTATAAGAAACAGTTAGTATATTTTCCCCTACCGCAACTACATTGCACTTATTTTGGCTAACTTGAGAGGGGTAAGTGTTCTTCACCTAGAATTTATTTTATTCCATGATTTATCTTTATTTTTATCATTTAATTTGTGTTTTGAGTTGAGGAAAATGGAGGTTTTTGAAGAAAATTTTCAAAATGAAAAATCATGATTTGAGGGACGAATTGGTATCGGAATTTGATAATTTATTATGGTTGAATATTTGTATGATTTTGAACTTACCACAATTACAATACTTATCTCTACACAGATCTAGTCGTTGCAATTAAACAAATTTGTTAAACACTTTGTAGTGTCACGTTAGTGTTATAACAGTAAAGTGTAATGGTGCAGACCGCTTTGGCATTTGCAGTTTGTAAATTTGAAAGTGCTTGTCTAAATTTCATTTTGATACTAATTAGTATTTGATGTTTGCCACAGATGATTGTGATTGCTGTGGAGAAATGATCTTGGTGGAGAATTATGTTATTAATTCTGAAGACAACGAGGTCTCAGAGACACTTAAAATGGGCAATTTAACTGGTGGAAAGACTGAAACCAATCTTCCAAATCAATCAGAAGTTGTTATATGTCAAGACTTAAATGGAAGATTGAACGGTGTTGGGTCCACATCTGTTTGTGATTATACCTGTCGTAATGATGGACACTCTGCGGAAGTGTCACAACATTGTACGAGAGATTCAGATGGCATCTCCGATTTGAACCCTGAGCGAGCTGCTATAACTGTGAGGCAGCTGCTATAGTTCATTTTGTATTTTTCAGTGATTTTGAAGGCGTGTGTTTAATGATTCCTTATTGTAATTTTGTTACCACTGCA